GCCGCATTGCTTATCTTATCTACATGGGATGTTTGGTACTGGTTTCTCCAACAAGGGGGTTGGGGCCCGCTGAGACCTCCTATTCCTTTCACTAGAAGAGGGAAGATAAGGTATTCTTGAGTAGAGCATAAGCTTTAGAACCAAACCAAGCTGGGTTGGCTCTAGACTCATATATAAGATCGGCCCAGCAAACTGGGCACTTGTTATGTACTGGGCACTGGTGACATGACGAATAATAAGACAGAGCCAGCCCCTGCCTTGATGAAGCTTACATTCTGTTACACCTTGATATAAGTTCATTTGCTTCTGACCATCTATTGCACTGGCGTAAGATTGTCCAACAGAATCTTAGTTTAGTAGTGAGACTAAATGATGACATCTATGCATAGTGTTGGGCACATGTTGTGTGCATTAAGTTATACTCTTGTGCCATGTGGAATGCTTCATTAATGTGCAGCCTAAGTTCTCTGTTCCTATAAATGTGAACAACTGGATTTATTGATGAAGTCATAAAAGTTCTTACTCCTTTATCTGTGATAGACTTAGGTCTCATGATATTCTCTGTCAAGGCTCAGGTTGATTTGTAGACTTTAACTAATTATCTTCACAATATTTCAGTCTGCTGGGGAGGGATTCAGCGAAATGCTAATATAGCTACAGGTAAATATATTCAAAATTTAATCAAAACATCTAGGTTATATTCCTGTTGTCATGCATTCTGTTAATAGTTACTGTCTAAATGATAACATAGTAAACAAAGGCGTGTTTTTGCATGAAGATTTTGCTTTGCAATACAGGTTAAGATTTTTAGGTTATGTATTTTTTCTCCCATATAAATATGTTGTAGACTTATTATATAGAGAATTTTGGAAGTCCAGAAATATAAAGAAGAAAATAATTTGCCTTTTCAAAGACTGTTATTATTTTTTGATGTATTTCCTTCTGGCCTTTTCCCCAGCACATTCATTTTTATAAAATTGAGTTTATATTTAACATGTGATTTTGTATCTTGCTTTTAAAACAGTCACATCATACCTCTCTTGTTACTCAAATTAATCACAAACCTTCTGCTCCATAGTCCTGTATCACTTCATGAGGAGGTAATGTAATCTACTCAACTCTTGACATAGAATCCACTGAAATCTTTTTAAAATGCTCCAGTTGTAACCTTTGAAGGCTTCTCCTTCCTCTTAGGAGAGCAAGGTCTTGAGAGTCTGGCTCCTGCTTTCTCCAAGCCTTGTCACTACCATATACCCTGGTTCTCTTTTTCTGGTCACCTGGGCCCTTTGACCTATTTTATCTCTCCAAATGCCTCTTCTTTTCTTGGATGTCTCACTCCCCATTGCCTAGTTAAGTCTTGCTCATTCTTCAGCTCTTTCCTACATGTCCTATGTGCTGGGAGGCCTTCAGTATCTCTTAGATCAGGTCAGTTTGCCCTGAACTGGACTGTTAGAGCATCTTGCCTTTTCCTTCTTGACTAGAAGCTGATGGTCCTTATGCTGACTTTTATAGTTAGCAGAGTGAGCTCCAGAGAGCGGGGGTTGGATTTGTTTCTGTTCCATTTTGTGTTCCCATCTTCTGAAACCCTTTTTTGAATGAACTAATGAATGAAATAAATGTGCAAACAAGGTAGTTCCTTATGTTGGGACCTTGAAACAGCTTGCCATTCTTAACTATTATGGAAAACGAGCAATGAGCAACTTCATATGCACTTACTATTCTTTCTTTCAGATGGATTTGCAGAGATGGGATAACTGCAGTAAGGTGTCTGACCTTATAAAGTTCTGCCACAATTCTTTCTAGAATGCCATGATGAAAATTGCTCTCTCTGTGAATAGGGAACACTTGGAATAAAATAATTTAGTAGAAGTGGTATGGTCACAGTAGCTTTGTGCACTGTCCACAGTCATCAGCAGTGGCTTGTGCCTAGAGTGAAATGTAGGCTGGTTGGCACTTTCATCAGATCCATCATCCTCTTCCAGCAGCAAGGCACTCAGGGCTCTACAAGGTATTTTCCTAATGATACAAAAACACAGAGCAAAAGATTCTCCTAGGACCATTTAGATTTTGTAGTAGAGGAGGACATACTGTGATTTATTTAATTAATGTTATGAATCCAGGGCTTCTTTCTTTGGTGTTCTTTATTTCAGTAAAATGTATCACCTCCTGGATATCATTGTCATTTGGGAAGGATCCAAATTACTTTCCTTAAATAAGCCTTGGGCTTAGCATGCAACCATACTAGCGACTTTCAAATTTGAATATTTTAATTACACCATGTGAGTTGTACCCTCTGGTATTTATGATCTGCAAGCCATTTAGCTATTTTTAATTTAAAGACATAGTTGTATGGCTAGTCATAAATAGTCTTCACAGTTGTGGTAAGTATAGTTTAATGGTGTGTAATTATTAGCAGTATATGCTTATTAGTATGCCATAGGTCTTTCTTGAGTAACCTGGACACATGATCCAGAAAAAGCAGTTATGGTCAGAGAGGAAGCCTCACCTGTTTCTTTGGTCTTCTCTGCTGGTACATGTTGACCTACTTTTCTGACTGTCATTTTCTGATTTTAGAAACAAGACCCTGCCATTTCAACAGCAATGGAGGCCTTGTTCAGGGAGCTTTCTCCATGTGGATAGTCAGACTGGGGAGGCATTGCTGGGCAACAGCAAGTTCAGGCAGTCTGGAGGATGAGGGTAAATGAATAGGATTGAGAGAGAGTAGAGGTCCTGGGCTTAAATCATTTACTAATCATATGATATTGGGCAGATACTCCATTTTCTTATCTCTAAAGTGGATAAAATAATAGGTTGGAATTATAGTGGGCACAGAGTTTTCTGTAAGTACTCAAAAACTGTTAGCTATTATCGTTATAACTACTACTTTCTTATTTACCATATCCCTTGCCCCACTGAAAGAGACAGACTGCTTGAGGCTGGCCATGCTTTTATTCTCCACCACATACACAAAATCTAACATGTCTGCAACAGGCTTTGTAGGTATTAATCAATGGGAATTATTTATTGAAATGGTGAACGAGGTTAATAAGTGACAATGCTGTTTTCCCCATCTGTGCTCTCCAGCTGTGATGAAGGAAGAGCAAGACAGTGACTCAGTCATTGACTCTATTGCTGACAGAGCTATGGGAGAGAAGAATGTGGTACAAGTCAAGGGCAAAGCTTTCTGAGCTGTGCCGCAGTGTCAGGCAGCCTGCACTGCTGCTTGCTAGGCTTCTCCTTGCCTACCAAGCTAAACTCCTGCTTACCACAGGCAGGCACATCTTCACCAGGTAGTGAATTCCAGGTCCTCTTCCACACTCACCATTCAACTATATTAGTTCTCTTTTCCTGGGAAGAAACAAACATCTGGAGAATGGCCCTCACATGGAAACTTGCAAGAAAGGAGAGAGAGCCACCCCAAAAGTTGGTTGAGTGAATTGACAAGTCTGGATTATCAAAGCAGTTGAGCAAGCGACTTGTGTTTAGTCTTATGGAAACTGAATTTGCTATTAGGACTGGTCAGGTTAAAATATACAGAATGCATACAAATTAGCTGTGGAGCATGCTGTTATTGTTGTGTATGTGTCGATGACTCATGCCACGTACCTTTTCCTTTTCTTCCCTCAACCCAGACATTTCTTCAGCAGGTTTTCCCCAGCTATCTTCATCTAGATTAGAGTTCTTTTTGCCCCTTCCCCCTCCTTTTAATGCCTACCATACCTTCATGCAACACTTGCTGGCGTGTCTTCTCTTCCCCTAGATTGTGAGCTTCTGAAAGATCAGGGCCCCCTCTCTCTTGTGCCTGGTCTGTCCTGTTCTTCCAGCTTGCTTGCTGAATGAATGAGTGCTTCCATGCTTCCTCTGCCCCCATTCAGTTCATGGCAAAGCCTTTGGTATTGTATCCATTCAGAGGGATCAAGGTCTCCACAAGTAACTGTTGTGCCATCTGTCTCTAGGCTAGGTCCCACCCAGCTGAAAATCTTCACTTGTGAATACTGCAACAAGGTCTTCAAGTTCAAGCACTCGCTGCAGGCCCACCTGCGGATCCACACCAATGAGAAGCCGTACAAGTGCCCCCAGTGTAACTATGCCAGCGCCATCAAGGCCAACCTCAATGTGCACCTGCGTAAGCACACTGGGGAGAAATTTGCCTGTGACTACTGCTCTTTCACATGCCTCAGCAAGGGCCACCTTAAGGTGCACATCGAGCGGGTACACAAGAAGATCAAGCAGCACTGCCGCTTCTGCAAGAAGAAGTACTCTGATGTCAAGAACCTCATCAAACACATTCGGGACACGCATGACCCACAGGACAAGAAGGTCAAGGAGGCCTTGGATGAGCTCCGCCTGATGACAAGGGAGGGCAAGCGGCAGCTGCTCTATGATTGCCACATCTGCGAGCGCAAGTTCAAGAATGAACTGGATCGTGACCGTCACATGCTGGTCCACGGAGACAAGTGGCCCTTTGCTTGTGAGCTCTGTGGCCATGGGGCCACAAAATACCAGGCACTGGAATTGCATGTCAGGAAGCACCCCTTTGTGTATGTCTGTGCCATATGCCTCAAGAAGTTTGTCAGTTCCATCCGACTGCGCACGCACATCAGGGAGGCACATGGGGCTGCTCAGGAGGCCTTGGTCTTTACCAGCTCCATCAACCAGAGCTTCTGCCTCCTGGAGCCTGGTGGAGACATCCAGCAGGAGGCCTTGGGGGAGCAGCTGCAGCTGGCAGCAGAAGAGTTTGTGTGCCAGGGGATGGATGTGCTGAAAGAGGAGGCTTGTCCTGAGGAGGCTCAGCCTGAGGAGGGCCAGAAGAAGCTGGAGACCGCTGGGGAAGAGCCCACCCCAGCTATGCCTTTGGCCACTCCCTCAGCTGAAAGTGCTGCCCTGCCACCCTGTGAGCTGGAAACCACTGTGGTCTCCTCAGACCTGCACCCTCTTGCAGTGGTTTCTGATGACTTTTTGTTGAAAAATGATACCTCCTCTGCTGAGGCTCATGCTGCTGCCGAGAAGGCCTTGGACACCCAGCATGGAGGCTCAGCTCAGACTCAGGGTGAAGAAGTCACACTACTGCTGTCCAAGGCCAAAAGTGCTGGACTGAACCAGGAGACCCAGTGTGCTGAAAGCCCTCCAGGTGAAGTACAGAAAATGGATCCCCCACGAGTCAGTGAATCGGATCCTAGCAGATGTCTCAGGTCAAATCTAGCCGAAGCCTCGGCCCTCCTTCCTGCAGTGGCTGGGGGTGGGGATATTGTCATGTGCCATCCTGACTCTTGCAGACCCGCCTCAGAGCATAGACCTGGCAGCACTGCCTTCATGAAGGTCCTGGACAGTCTGCAGAAGAAGCAAATGAACACCAGCCTGTGCGAGAGGATCAGGAAGGTTTATGGAGACCTGGAGTGTGAATACTGTGGTAAGGAAAGACAGCTCCAGGCGCGCCACTGAGTGGAGCTCTCCTTCCCAGCAGCCCCATCCACGCCCATCATGCTGTGGTCACTCGGGTTCCTCTGGAGCTCTTTGGAAAGGACACATCCTAAATGAGCCACCCACTTCCAAGCTAGATAGAAGCAGCGAGCCCTGCGTTTCAGGTAGCACTTGGAGTTCGTGGAGCCAGCCAGGGTGACGCACAGTTGACTGTGCTGGCACAGTCAGGTGTGCATGCTAAGGGTTGCCCATGACCTCTACCAGATTCTGACCAGGAAGACTCTTTATTCTGACATATGACAGGTGTCCAGTTGAGCTTTCAGTTGTGGCCATATTCTAGATGAGCAGAGAGGGCTGAAAGGGATTGCAGCTCTCTGCAGGGAGGCTCCAGGCAGCTCTCTTCTGGCTCACAGTGAGAACTTGGCTTCTGCATCTCCCGGGATGCTGGCGGTGCAGGCAGTAGGAAGGCCAGCTCCAAACCCTGTGTCCCGGGAGTGTCAGCAAGGCTTTAGAGACTCCTCCATCTGTGCATGTGGAATGTAGTATTTAGCACCATAATTGGTCCTCAATCAACATTTCTTTCCTGTTCCCTCTAGCCCTGACACCATGTGAAACATGGTAGCAACCTTAATATTGGCAACTTGCCACCTTTGAAAAGTAATTTCCATACAGAAATGTGGTAGAACGTTGAAGGGCGCCCCAATAAGCACGCAAGGGAGATAAATTTGGTAGTTAAAAATAATAATAATAATTAGAAAAAATTCAAATTCATTATAAAAGAAACTTCCTTGTTCTCATATGAAAATATTTTTTTAGGCAAACTTTTTTGGTACCAAGTGCATTTTGACATGCATGTCCGCACCCACACCCGGGAACATCTGTATTATTGCTCCCAGTGCCATTATTCTTCCATCACCAAAAACTGCCTTAAACGCCATGTAATTCAGAAACACAGTAACATCTTGCTGAAGTGTCCCACTGACGGCTGTGACTACTCGACTCCAGATAAATATAAGCTGCAGGCACATCTTAAAGTTCACACAGAGCTGGTAAGTAGCAAGCCCAAGCGGCAGCCCTGTCTACCCTGGGTGCTCATTGCTTTCTCAAAGTTATGCCTGTGGAGGTGTCCCTGCTGCAGGTCGTCCACCTGAATCCAGACCTGAAAACACAGCAAGGGCTTTCTCACTGTAGGCTCTTCACTTTCCAAAGAGTTCGGTCCAGGGTCCTTTTACAGCAAGAGGCTCTGCTACATTGAAAACCGATTAAACAAATTTGCTTTTTGTGCAAATTTGTTAGAATCTGAGAAGGTTTACTGAAGAAAGATTTATAGAATAGAAAAGAAGCAAGGATTTTGTAAATGACAATTTAAAGAATTACTAACAAGGATAAGAATAGCTGCACCTAAAACTTGTTGGGAGATTAAATCATAATGAGATAAGATTAGTTAATTGTACTATGAACAATATTTGGTACACAGTAAGAGCACAGAGAATGTTGATGATGACTGTTGTGACATTATGGTATCTTTTATTATAAACACTGATAGAGAGTATTATGAAGCACTGTAATTAAAAAATCGATATGTTAATTCAGGTGTTCATATTCACTGTGGCCATATTTGTCCATTTCTTTAGTAGGAGATCATGTAACATAATGAATGCATGTTTCTTTTTGCAAATTCTAATCTGACTCAAGAGGCTGACACCTGAGAGTGATTTGAGACTTCTTAAAGTCACACCTGGCCCTAGGTGTGGCTCTGTTTTAATTGCATGCTGTTTTATGCTACAGACAGCACAAAATGAGGCTTCAGAAACTGGGTGTGCTGCCAGGGTTTTCTGTTGTAGAAATCACTAACACTCCAGTGGTTTGTCACTGAGGCAAAGTCAGGGTATTGGATATAGTGGGGTAGGGACCTGGGCTTTGAAGTTAAGGTCTTGATTCTGAAACTGTCTCCCTCCCTCTCACAAGCTCTGTGGCCCTGACAAGTCACATGTCCTTTCTGAGATCTGGTAGCCTTTTACATAAAACATATATTTAACATCTACTTCTTACATGTACACGCATACATGCACTGATAAATATCTCCATGTGTATGCACACATGTGTATACATGCCACACGCATACGTGCACATGTGTATGTGCATACCTCTATTTGTATATGTGTGTGCACCTCTGTGGTTTTGGGGAGGTTAAAATAAAATGCTTTTGATAAAGAACTTGGCACAGTGCTTGTCATGTAGTTGACTGTGTACCAACTACAGTTTGTCACTTGGTACTTCCTAGTCTACCTTTTCTCACCTTCCCTGTTTTTCCTATTTTTTTTCCCTTTCTTTCTGTCTTATTCTGTTCACCCCTTCTGTGTCTGTCCTCTCTCTCTCCCTCTAAGCAGGGCACGATGGCATGTGGTTTATAATCTCTTCTGATGGAATTGTGGTTAGGTTGGCATTACTTCTAGTTTTCTCTTAGGGCAGAGAACAGTGAGGTGGCAGAAGTCATTTATGTGACTTTCCTGGAAAGTCATCTGAAGAAGGAGTTAAGACCCTGTGCAGGCACATTCTTGTGAGGAGAAACCTTGAAGTGTAATGGTAGAGACCAGGAAGCAGACTGCTGGGTTTTAGCCCTGGCTCCTCCTCCATTTAACATGTGCTTAGCCTTGAGATGAGTCATGTAAACACTCAGTGCTTCAGTTTGCCAGGGCTCAGTGAAATGAAGGAATATAAACCAATGTCTCAGAATAGTGCCTGGCCTGGAGTAGGCACTATTGACTATTACTAGCTACTGTTTATTCTACGTATCATTACAGATTTAGAAGTTTTGAATCCAGGCTAATGAATGGCAACAACAAGGCCATTGCAAGTGGACTTTGCCCACACTCAGGATTTGCTTTCTTGTTGTGTGTGTTCCAGGGTTCTGGTTCAGCCCAGTTATTTTCTGGCCCTGGGTCAACAGGAGAGTGTCAGGAGCATGCTCTAAGATTTTGTCCTTGAATTCATATGCTTCCATTGTAATAAATTGGTATTTCTCTTCTTTCGTGTTGTGAATCTTACTTTAAAGAGATTATCTTACCACTGTCAACACCTAAGAAGGCATCTGGTGGAAATAAATGTGGTACAAAGGGAAGTAAATTGCCGTGTTTACCTCTCGACAGCATCCTTGTACTGTTTTGCTTAAATCTCGTGTCTCCTCTGAAAGTTGGGGATTACTTCCGTCAAGGGGCAGATCAGAAGTATGGTATCTCAGCCACCCAGTAACTTGTTCATGGTCATACTATTGGTAAGGGAGAGACAGAATTGGAGCCATACTCGTCACAGCCCCATGCTATCTACTTTGTGGTCAGGTCCATCGCTAGCGTGACCCACACCATTCTTGGTGAGTCTTTGGATACTTGCACAGCATCTGAAGGAGCGTGAGGTAGACTTTGCCTCATGGTGTGGGGACTGCATGGGTACTTTCTGTGCTGCTAAGTGGCAGCTGTGCCTTGTGCTATATTAGTGAATGTCTGCACATTGTTGCAGTGTGCTGAGTACAGCAGTGTGACTCAGTTAACCTTGTAGCAGAGGATGCTATCCTTGCTTCTCATTAGCACTCGCATTTTCTTAGAAGTTGTTAAAGTTCAATTTCCATCTTTTCCTTTGCTGGTATGTGAAATTCTTCCAATTAAAACACTTTTAAATGTGAACAACCTACTTCTGCTTCTGGAGCTAAAGGACTTGTCTTCTGCATACCAGGCATTGGGCTTTCAGATATGAGTAGGACTGTTACCTGCCTACAAGGCACTTTTTGTCTTGTGGAGGATAAACAAGTCAATGTGGTGGGGTGGACGGTGGGTGAAATCAGCAGACTCTCCTCTGAGGTTGAAAAATAGATCTGGGCCAGGAAAGAGGACAGGGAAGAAATACCCAGCTGCATCCATGACACAATCCAAGGGGAAGCCTTTGCTTTTATGCTAGGACCTTAAATTACTAAGCATTTCACATGAAGCAGGAGGACTGTTTGACATTATGGTAAGATAGTATAATTGATGAAAGCATCTCCCAGTATTTTGAGTTTAGATGACATTTGTCTTTTGAGTCTGCAGTTCGTTTCTATAATGAAGCCAAGGGTACTTCAGGAATGTTGATAGTGAAAAGTCTTCTGCTGGCCCTGAGTGTGGATGTTTTTGCTTTGATAATGAAGGTGCTGTCTCCAATATTTTACATAGAGTTTGGTGTCAGCAAGGAAAGTTATTCTTTTAAGGGTACAATTCAGTGGTCGTATATTCATAGAGCTATCCAACTATTACTTAATGAATTTTGTAACATTTCCATTATCCCAAAAAGGAACCCATTTCCATTATTTGTCATTTCTTACTTCCCTTTCCCTGAGCCCTGGCCAACCACTAATCCACTTCCTATCTCTATGGATTTGCCTGTTCTGGACATTTTATATAAAAGGAATCATAAAATATATATGTGAGACTGTCTTTTATGTCTGGTTTATTTAGTTCATCTATGGTGTACCATATGTTAATACTTTACTCCTTTTTATAGCTGGATAGTACTCCACTGTATGGGTACAGTGCTTTTTGCTTTATCCATTCATGAGTTGATAGACATTAGAAGATTTATTTTTAGCGGTAAATTCACTGAGATGGAACACCCAACTATAGAATATCTTAAATCCACAGGATTTGAGTTAATTCTTTGCGAAATCACAAGTAACACATGTAGGTTAACTCTTGGAGGCTAAATGCTAACTTTTCTTAAGAGTTCTCAAAATTTTGAAGCATCTAAGAAACCACCCATTTTCTTCATTGCCATGAATTGCCCATACATCCATGTTTAGCTGTGCCATCTTCACTGTCCCATCCTCGTCACTGTTCTTGACATTGTGCCATCATTTTTGCTTGGAGTGAATAAAATTGGGGATTTGTAATCAAGGATTGGGCTCCAGCTCCAGTACTACAGCCTGTGTTGACTGCTTGATTTTTCTGAACTCTTTTTTCCTCTTCTGGAAAAGTGCAGTGAATAACACCACCCTGCTTTCTTGGATGTAGGTGAGCTGCAGTGAGATTGTGTAAACATGTTTGTGCTATAGAAGTGCCTAGTAAATGGCCTGGTGGTTGAGTTGAGCACTCTGGTCATGACAGGGTCCAGCTGGGTCAGGCAGTGGAAATTTTCTGACTGGGAAAAGCATGGGAGTTGAGGTGATCTCTTGCTCCTCCCATGGGGTTTGGTTACTTAGGACCTTGGGGATGGTACCAGGTCTGTTACCATTCTGTCTGTAATTTCTTATTTGTTCCGGCATTTACTGCTTTGAGTATAGATTCCATGCAGAGCAAAAATAAGGACATGTGAAGTAGAAGTGCTCTGTCCTCACATAGGCTTATTTATCCAAGTCCAGTACAGTTGTATTAGGATTCTGGGATAATTTGGTAAATTGCCAGGTTCTGTGCCTCTGATAATTACTTCTTAGCTAAGGATTCAGCTAACATTTAGAAGGAATGTATTCATACAGTGAAGTTGTTCTCCTTCTGCCTCCTCTTTCCCATTACTAACTGTGAGGTGTTGACTCATAGTCAAGAATGTATACTCATCCCTCCGGATCCATGGGGATTGGTGCAGAAAAGCCCCCACCCCACACCACAATCCAAGGGTGCTATAGGCCCTTAATAATACAGAGTTTACATATAACGTACGAACATCCTCCCATGTGCTTTAAATCATCTCTAGATTTGATCCAATGTAGATGCTATATAAATAGTTGTTATGTTTTTAGTTTAAGGGATGATGAGGAAAGAGAATCTGTAAATGTTCAGTACATACTAACTTTTTTTTTTTTTTGTGCTACTGGGTTGGAACTCAGGGCCTACACAGCTTTTTGTGATGGGTATTTTCAAGATAGGGTCTCACAAACTATTTGTCCAGACTGGCTTTGAGCCATGATTCTCCTGATGTCTACCTCCTGATTAGCTAGGATTACAGGCATGAGCCACTGGCATCCGGCTCAGATTAACTTTTTTTTTTTTTTTTGAGTATTTTTGAGCATTTTGATTGAATCCACAGGGGAGGAACCTATTTGTACTGACTATATTGGCATCAAGGAAATTTGGGGACCTAATAAAGGAATTAGTCAACAACCCTTCCAGAACAAATCCTTTCCTTACACTGTTGTGCAAACTGTGAAGAAGAGACTTGAGAAAATTTGATTTTAATAGAAAGAGAGGGAGTGTTGAGTGCTAATGTGCTTGAGCTCTAACACTGAATCTATCTCTGTGATTCTGGTCAAAGTGCTCAGCCTCTCTGAGCTTCACTTTTCTCATCTGTAAAATGGAGATGAGATAAAGTACTTTCCTCTGCCTCTCAGGATTGTGAGGATTAAATCAGGAAATCGGTACAGAACACGCAGGTCAGCATTCTCACCAAGACAAGATTTATTGGTTGTGATGCACTAGAGGCTTGTGAAACCAGATGTGTGAGCCATGACTAGCTATCCTAAAATGAAATAGAGAATGTCGTAGCAGACCTTTGTTTCAGTGCTAAGTGTTCATGGCAGTGTGTGTCAGTTGCTCTGGGGGTGCTGTGACCTCCTGGGGGCCCCATTAAATAATTCTGCAAGCCGCTGACCTAAGTGATGTAATTGGTGACTTCTTGGACCACAGACCCATGGTGACAATTGCACAGAATGAGATTTCAGGGCTCTAGGCTCCGTCTCAATTTAAGGTGGGCTTGGTGGATCTGTGACTCAAGGAAGTTCCTCCTGCCTCTGGCTAGTGTTCCTTCTTAGAAGACCTCACAGGTACTGAACACTAAGAGCAGTGTAACAGATGCAGCCTAAGCCCAAAAGTCAGCATATTGGTGTGGCTTTGAAGACTTAGGAGTGAGGCTATGCTCCCAACCTGTAGTTTCTTCTGGAAATGGGGACAGCAACTCAGGGTTGCCATGGAAATGCAGTGAGATAGTGTTTGTAAGGTATACAGCATGGTCCCAGGTCCACAGTATAACTATAGTAGCTCCCACTGCTCTTCTTTCCCTTCTTCCTTTTCCAGCCCCTGTTCTTTGGGGGATGAGTACTAACAATGAGAGTGGTGGTGTATTCATCCACAGTCTGATGGCTTCTCAGTAAATGTCAGAAAACTCAGCTTTGATCTTTGAGAAGCATATACTTTTATTTTTTCTGTTTGTTTTGTTTCTGGTAAATAGATACACATACTAAAAAAATAAACAGACAAAAAACCCTTTACATCTACTACTTGTTGGAAATAAGCTAAAAAAGCAATGTATTTCTAGCAAAAAACAAAATAGAGGAAGTTTCCTTCAATATCTTTCTGGAAATGAATGGGTCATAGTCAGTGTATATGTATTTTAAGTTTACATATGTGTGTGTGTGTGTGTGTGTGTGTGGGCGCGCATTTAAGTAATGGAAAAGTAACTTACTGAATATAATACTGTTCCTTTCTAAGAACAACAAGAATATTGTCTTTTCTTACATGAACACAGAGCAATTCTGTTTTTATGATTCCCTATTTGGGCATCTTACCTACTGTGCAGTAAGTAGTCTGGAGCAGACTCTGAAGCTGAGCTCTTCACCATCCTTACAGCTGGGTCTCTCGTGCTCCCTGATTTTGCTGGGAGCTCTTAACCATGGCTCTTTTAAGTTTCTTGAGTGTATTTGGGTTTCTTCTCTGGCAAGGCATTGAAATTTTGAAAAAGAAGTAAATGAGTCCTAAGAGTCTTCTTTCTCCCAGCCCCCTCTACCTCTGTCTGTGTCCTTCTGACAGTCTTCAAAGACATCAAGAATCAGAGCCCTGATAAGCTTTAAGATAAATTGCTTTCACTCTATTAGGGATTAAAAGAAGAAAAATCAAATAGCAAGGACTCAGGGGAGATCAGTGTAAACTCCTTCAAAGCCCTTCTGAATGTCTGCATCAACTTTGATGAGGAAGGCAGCCAGGACGGGGGACTCCCCCTAGATGCTTATGGGGCCCCAGGTGTTCTTTTTAAAATGGCACCGTGAGCATGAGGTCAAGAGAAGTGGGCGGACAGTGACAGGAGCACACTGAGAAGCCCCAAGCCTCTGATGTCACTGGGGGAAGTTTATAGCATTGGCTGGCCACAGAGAGTTTCAGGGCAGCTTCTCAAGAGCGGCCTGGGCTGACAAGCATCTGACTTGGTAGGCACTGCTTGGTCTCAGGTGACTGGTAGGGAATACATCCAGGTTGTGTGGTTTCGAGGGACTTTTGTTTTCAAAAGTACCTTTTCCTAACTGTACTCTGGGGAACACCAGCCTCCGGAGATGTTCTGCAACATCAGTGAGAGCTAACCCACAAAAGTTTGGGGGCTGCTCATTCGGGTTCCCCTCTAAGAGATTCCCAGGGTGTAACAGCCCATGAGAAGGCCAACATCACAGGCTGAGTTGCATCATACCGGTGCTCAAACCTCAGCAGCAAAGCCTTTCTGGTTTATGTAGCACTGACTGTAGGCTATAGGCCAGGCTCCCTCTGAGAACTTTCTGTGTGCTGTGGATTCTTTATCCTCCTGTGACCCTGTGAAGGAGACACTGTTCTTAGTGCCATTTTACAGATGGTGAAACTGAGGCACTGAGAGGTAAAACCACTTGCCAAAAGTTTCCCAGTTGATAAGTGATGAAACCAGGACTCACTGCAGGGCCTCCAAACCCTGGGTTTGTCCTGCTAATTATGGCCTCACAAGAGCAAGTGCTCTGGAAGCCAAAGGCCAAGCTTGGACATCTAGCTCTGCTGTCTCTGGTGGCATGACCTTGAGCATACCTAAACCCTCAGAAGGTAAGAAATTCTCAAAATGCAATTGTTGCTGTTGGGTTGTTACTAGTTGATGATTTGGAGCAGTCTCTGAGGACTACATTCTGTTACCTGAGGCATGGAAGGCACTTGCTGTGAGGCTAAGCTCACAGGTAGGAATTGGTTCCTCTGCAAGTTCTTGTGAGTATGGACTGTACCAATATTCCCTGGAACACACATTATCCAAAATATTTCCCGGAAACCATGGGACCTGTAGGTTTTGCCTTTGGGTTTTGTTCATTTGGATGTATAGGTCCTTTCCACCAGAGTTGGGCTGTCTGTAAGATGTGTGCTTGAGAAGCACAATAAAAGTACCATGCATGCACACATATGCATAGGTGGCATACACAAGAGATACTCATTGTTTCCAAGTCTGGAGAAAGGACATCTGAGCACACAAGGTGTTGGTAGGGTTGCTGCCTTCTGAGGGCTGCGTGGGAATCTTTCCAGATCTGTCTCTTGGTTTCAGTGATTTACTGGCAGTCTTTGGCATTCCTTTTCTTATAGAAGACTTCTGTGTTCATGTCTATCTGAAATTGTCCCTGTGTGCATGTCTGTGTACAAATTTCCCTTTTTCTAAGGGCACCAGTCATCTTGGTTTGGGCCACCCTCAGTACCACATTTTATCTGGATCACTTCTGTAAGGATCTCACTCCAAGCAAGACCACGTTCTGAAGTGCTGGTGATTAGGACTCTAGTGTATGAAGCTGGAGTGGGGAGGGGGGCATAATTCAACCCATTGCATCCCCCATCTGGGGAAAACTGATGTGAAATGCTTTAAGTGAGCACTGGGAGAAAAGGAGGTGAACAGAAGCTGGAGCTCTGTCATTCACAGAGCTGTTCTCTACTTGAAATGTGACTGGTAGTGACCGAGTTGATCCTGCCAGCAACAGTGCAGAGGTCTTCCCTCCATGCAGCCTCAGGGGCTCATGGTCTTAGGGAGGCAAGAAATATCCTGGGTGGGTATCTGGGCCTCCAGTTCCGACACTGGCCCTTCCTCTCAGATTTTAGTCTTATCATCCTGGGCCTTTGTTTCTTAGTCATGAACCTGAATGTGAACAAAATGCCTTTTTTTGAGTGGTAGTGAATCTCAATATAATAACATGAAACCCTACACAAACCACACATTGAGTGCTGAGGATATAATGTGCTTTTGGGTTTTAGAGCAGCTGTAGTCTGGCTTTGAGATTGAGCACTACCGTTTTCCCTTCCCCAGGACTCTCATCTCTAAACCCTTTCTCTCCTTTCTGAGATGGAGCTGACACCATCACCTACTCTTGAGTTTCCTGGGCTGAGCAGGGCCCAGGGAAGCCAACTATGAAGTGCTTGGAAGGATGTACTGTGTGTCTGGCTTCGATGAGGCTACTGCTGCTGATAGTGCTGATGGTGATCATGGTGGTGGCGACAATGTTGATGGTGATGATGATGGTGGTGGTTGTTTTTCTATAGAGCCTAGACTTAAACAAGACAGTCAATTGATTATGTTCTCTTTCTATTAAGGACAAAAGGAGTTACTCTTGTCCTGTGTGTGAAAAATCTTTTTCAGAAGATCGATTGATAAAGTCACATATCAAGACCAACCATCCTGGTAAGATTATGGAATTTAGAGTAGAGGATTAATTTTAAAATGCTTGTGTTTATGATAAAAATACATTATCTGCATATATGGAAATACCATAATGAAACCCCTTACTGTGTACAATTTAATACACACCATTAAAAATGCTTATGTTTATTTTAATTCACAGCATTACACGTCACCTGCACCATGTTGAAGTGAAAAGGGAAGACACAAATAAATTTAAGGGAAATAACATCTGTATTTAAAGAGCTTTATCCCTGGGGAGGCTTTTGTGGCTGCCCTGCCCACCCAGTATTGTGGCACCCTACTTGCTTCTACTCTCAAAATTGTCACACTCCCCATTACCTCCATGGTGTCCTTGAGGTAGGGATTGTCCCCAGACCTCAGTATCACATGGAGGGTGCACAGAGCACTCATGGGTACTCTAGTTATATGAATGAGTAAATGTGTTCTTTTTCTGCTTTTTTCTCACTTAAACTTTTATATCTGCCCTTGGTATAAAGGAACAGTTTGCTGGTTATAAATGATAAGAATGGAGGAAGATAAAGAAATTACAAAAGGGCAGTGACACTCATGTTTTCTCTGGCAACAGACAGAGCCTTGAGTCTTCGTGGGTGTGAGAATGTGTGGGTTAGGTGACTCTCTGCAGGCTCCCTTCCTCCCTTTCTATGTTAACCGTGTCCTAAGTGACTGGAAGTCTACTATCTGAAGATAGCCGTTTCAAACCAACAGCCTTTTCCCATGGAGAGACGTAAAGCATCTTTGTGTCATTATTGTAAACTTTCCTACTATGAAAAAATCCCAAACATCTGCAGAAGTACACAGTTATGATATCCTTAACTCAGCCCTCTTTGGTATGTATGTTTTGCACTCTTTTCATCTATCTACCCCATAAACTTTTTCTAGACTATTATAATATACCCCACAGATCATTTAATTTCCATCTAAAAATCTTTACAAAGTCTCTCCAAGTAACATGAATTTCTCTCAGCATAGTTACCATGTTACCAGTAAAAGCAAAATTAGCAGCGATTCCTTATTATTACCTTGTATTTGTCCATTTAAAATTTCCCCAGTTGATCCAATATTTCCTTTTCTTTCTTTTTTTTTTTTAACAGTTGGTTTGTTTGAATTGAGATGTAAGTATTTCTGTTTAGTGGTTATGTCACTTAGTTTCTTGTACTATGTAAGACTCCCCCAAACACATCTTTTTTCAATGACATTGATTTCTGGAAGAAACCAAGTTGCTTTTCCTATGGAAAATAATCCTATGAATTATTGCTTTGTGATGCTTCTCCATTTCTTGTACTTTATATTATCAGGTATTTAGATCTGAAGCTTAATCAGATTCTGGTTTACACTTACAGGCAAAATTGTTGGCATGACACTCTTAAGATACACACTGGCTTGTCCTCTTGGTGACGTCCTCAGGAATCCCCTGACTTGTCCTTTTAATGATGCAGGTGCTATCAGAACCTTATTTATATCTCACTTGAATGAGAGCCTTTGGCTCCTCTGATTGTCACCCTCTTTCTCTTCCAGAGGTCTCCATGAGTACTATTTCTGAGGTGCTTGGGAGGAGGGTCCAGCTGAAAGGGCTAATTGGAAAAAGAGCCATGAAGTGCCCGTACTGTGATTTCTATTTCATGAAGAATGGCTCAGACCTTCAGCGTCACATTTGGGCTCATGAAGGTGAGTAGTGGTTTTTCTACATGGAGCAGCTTTTAAAGTTTATACCTGCTTGCTTTATTTGGGAGTACAAGAGGAAGAGGCCACATCTTTATGTCCTCTGAAGTTAGATTTCTTTAGCACATCAGTCAGCTAAGTCATGGATTTAAATCATTACTTAATTAGTTGCATTTACAGTGAGTGGAGATGTACAGTTCTTTCTAGTGCTGGTTGCGATTACAATGAAATAAATTGCCATGACTCCCCTACTACAAAGCAGGAGTCCTAAGAAGAGGAGTGCTTGTTTCTTATTAAGGGCAGTGACTGGTGCCCACCAAAGTGTACTGTTAGAATAAACGCAGGTGAAGAGGGCAGTAGGGTTCTCTGGTTTCAGGAATGTGGAGTATTACCTTTCCGTTAGGAGTGAAACGGTGAGGGTGGTGGCATGTATGGATATAAATGTGGCTCCCTTGTCTTGAAATTGAAGATATTCATACCCATTGGTCACAGTTTCCTCAGCAAAGCAGGCAGATGCCTCTGCCTGGAGGATGGTTTAGTATGGTGCTCATGGGAATCAGCAGGGAACTGAGAAGGGGCTGACCCCAAGAGAAGCCCAGGGAGGCTGGAACCTCTGGATGCATAAGGCATCCAGTGGCATGGTTATACTCTCATGAGAGAGCACAGGACTGGAGTGAGAGAGCTGGTTTAAAATCTGCTCTCACCATTAAGCTGTGGATGGGACCAATATGCCATTCTTTCTGACCTCAGTTTACTTATCTGTGAAATGGAAACATAAACTACTTTGGTATTTGTTGCAGGGATCAATGAAATCATTTATATAAAATCCTTAGTAGAGGGCGTAGTACGTACCGGGGGTTACTACATGACCACTGCTATTGTATTCACATGTGATGGTGTGTTCGTGTTGCTTATTTTCCATTTTTATTTTTTATATTTTTGACTATACTGGGGTTTGAACTCAGGACATTGCTCTAACACTTGATCCATGCCCCATCCCTCTTTTTACTTTTAGTTATTTTTCAAATAGGGCCTCATGTTTATGCTCAGGTTAGCTCGCACCATGTCCCTCCTGTCTGTACTTCTCTTAGTTGTAATGATAGGTATGTACCACCATGCCCAGTCATTGGTTGAGATGGGGGTCTTTCTAACTTTTTTTTTCCTGAGCTAGCTTCAAACCTTAATCTTCTTGATCTCTGCCTCCCTAATATCTGGGATTATAATCATGAGCCACTGTGCCCAACTAAAAATTCAGTATTTTTAAAAACTTTAGAATTATGATAAAGGTTCAGAATGTCAAAGACTGCTGCTTTTCATTGGACGCTCCTGGCATTCTGTTTTTTCATGATTTATGAATTTTTCTATAATGATGGAATCATAACGTTCTTTGGAGTTGATCCCTGTATACCATATCTAGTCTGCCTCTTTACTCTCAAAATAAACAAGAGACAAGAAAAAAAGAAATAAAAATAACAGGTAAAAATACCAAGAAAGACAGATTAAAAACAACAAACAAACCACGAGTAATGGCCATAGAGCTGTAGTTGTAGTAATTAGCTGTATATGTAGAACTTTCTTCATACATGTGACAATTATTGCTTAAAGGACATATAACTTCATTTAGGGTTCCATAATAGCCCAGTCTTGGATTTGGAGCTGTTCTAATTTTAGTGGCTCTTAATGCATTAAAACAAGATAACAGAGTAGACAGTGTCTTAGGGTCTTGCTGTGCAGTGGAGGCATGTAGATATTTGTTGAAGGAAGGAATAGTTCAGTGTGAAAGTTTCTCTGTACATTGTGAGCCATTGGTCCTGCATGACAGCCAGTGTTGTGAATCTCTGATTATTTTATGAAGTAAAATATGCTTTTACATTTGATAAAGAGTGTCTGAGTCAATTGATTTTTGCAAAGGCCTTTGGTGCCTTTAATTTTATTCAGTTTATCTCAGTTAATTGAATTTAATGACTCTTGGCTTTACAAGTTGCTTAGGGTCTCTGTCCTCAAGGAGTTCTGGGATGAGGAAGAGGGAGAGGTGAACAACTTGCTGTGATGTTTTGTAAATATTCCATTAGTAGAGGGCTCAAGAATTGGGGACACTGATGGGCTAGTAGGACATTTTACTATGTGGGACGTTCAGAAAGCTACAGGGTGGAGGCTGTTAACAGACCCTGCAGGAAATATCATCCCTGAGGGATGGAGCAGCATGAAAAGAGTCTGGTGTGGGAAGGGTGGGGCATGTTTGGGAAGCACAAATGCAGTGCTTCATTTTCCCTTGAACTCATACACATATGTACATACACATTGAAATATACATTTTTTCTCTGGTAGGTGTGAAGCCTTTCAAATGTTCTTTATGTGAGTATGCAACTCGTAGCAAGAGCAACCTCAAGGCTCACATGAATCGTCACAGCACTGAGAAAACCCACCTATGTGACATGTGTGGTAAGAAGTTCAAATCCAAAGGGACGTTAAAGAGTCACAAGCTTCTTCACACTGCTGATGGTGAGTCAGGGACCCCAGCAATTGAATGTGTGGCTGGAAGCTGGCCTTCTAAGGCCAGAAGAGGTTGTCAGTGCGCCTGGCTGTAGGAGGGAACATGGAGTACTTTAGGATAGACATTCTGACAGTGTGACAGTGTTCTGGCCTGTCTCCCTCCACTCCGTACCCAGTGCTGAATGGCTCCTGACATCTAGCAGGTGCTCTACAAGCCTTCTCTGGGTGTGTGGGCACGTGGAGGGGTGCAAACAGGAAGGCTCCTGCAAGGAGGGAGGCACGCTCAGGAGCCCTTGATGCTTGGTTCTGGAAGTTTTCATCCTCTTCCATCTTCTATTCCACCCGCAGACTGAGGATCTTAAGGGTGACTCTGGTCACATCTGGCCTCATTTTTCTAGTATTTGCCCTTATCATCTAAGCTGCCTCAGAGTTCCTACATTTAGCCCAAAATAAGAACAATATGTAGGCAGATTTGACCTTGATAACGTGTACTTAAGTGGATTTCTAGTTTCATCTATTCCTTAAAGACTACTGATTAAGCTCTTGTTTGTGCCAGCTTTGAGGTAGGGTCTAGCTCGGGGCAGCAGGTTGGTAAGGACCTAGTTTTGCCTTTGAGAGGATTTGATCTAGAAGGAAGGACAGAGGAGCAGGCAGGTGTGGGATGGGAGGGAGCTTGGGAGCTGGGACAAGGGTATAAATCTTGCTGGGTGGTGGGCACAGTACAGGGGAGGGACCCCCTGGTGTGGACTCTACAAAGGGAAAGATCTGTTCTAGGAAGGTAGACATACAAGACCTTAAAAATTTTGATTTTACTTAGAAACCACTGTTGTGTGAGGGACTTGTGAATACTTCATGTAACAAGACTAATAAACTTTATTTATAAATATACTGTCATTTTAACATAATTGTATAAAAATTGGAGTTAACTATAAAGATCAAAGTGATTTTTAATTTCAGAACTTAAGGAATGACATAGCTATTATATCCTACCTTTATTGTTTGCGTGTTTTAGGAATTGGTATAGTTGTGTGTGCACTAGTTGTGTCCTTGACAAGAATTTGTTTGAGCTTGAGGGACTCTCTGTAAATACTGGCTGCTTAACTAGGATCCATTGTGGATCAAGGTCTTGCCAGAGGCTGTAAAATAGTCAGTGCTATCTACGTTAAAAACAAAACAAAACAAAAAAAAATTGCAATCAAAATTAAAACACAATGACAGTTAAGCTGTCATACATGAATACTGAAAACTTAAAAGTCACCTAGTTATTTATGAATTCTACACCTCCACAGTCAACAAACCATACTGATCTTTCCAGTGCCTGAACCTTGCAGCAAGAGTTGTTTTTCTTGATGTGAGAGCACATTTTTCATTGAAGTCCTCAGTCACAAAGAGCAGCTATCCTCAGAGTCATGGCAGTCTGGAGTATCCCATGGGTCCTGGTAGCAGGGTCAGGAGGACAATTGCAGGATCAGAAAGGGTGCTGTGGCCTCAGGCCCTGCTCTGTGATCTGAGTCAAGTCCATGGGAGGCCATCTACCCAGGTGGACTGGATGATCATTGTTGCATGTGGAGGGAGGGGTTGGTGTGAGGAGTGGTATCCTAGGACCAGTATTTCACACTCAGCCTGTCCTGTCACTAATGCATATGTTTCTCTGAGTCCTTCATCAGGAAAGGGAATTCTGATAGACAAAGATGTGCTTGTGGTCAAGGCAAGCAGCAAGTCGGCCTTCCTGTGAGAGAATGGCCTCCAAACATCATGAAGTGTTTCCTCACTGAATGGTGGAAATTTGTACTGTTGCTCTTGTTTTTATTTTCCTGAAATTTTGGAGAGCTTTGTTATATTGCAAAATAAAAGAGATGAGACCTGAACATTTCTTGGATCTCTTTAGTTTCGGTGTGCTGTGGTTGTGGGAGGCAAGGGTAAAGAGGGCCAACAATGTAGAGATATCAGGTACCTGGTAGCTTGATCTTTCTGAATCTGAGATGACTGATGTTTCACAGGCTGCTGTGTCTCACTGACTTTCTCCTTTGACATTTGGTACTGTTGTATGTCTTCTTGGTATGTGGAATATGGAACCCTAGACCACCTATCTGAGCTCTGCTGATGATCTATGACTTAGCATTCACCTAGAGATAGGCTACTCTTCCCCTTTCTATTTTTAAAGAGCTTTTAATTTTCCCTGGTAACATGTTTAATAGAGAAAGTTTGAGAAAAGTTAACTTGTATTGTTTTTTAACTTTTATAATGCTCCCATTTATCTTGTTGATTTCATAGAGCTCCTTGTATATTAATACTTTGCTATATTTTACAAATATTTTCCCCAAGTTATCATTCAGTTTTACATCTGATTTATGGTATTTCTATATACAGAAATTAAATAACTTGGCTTGTTTAAACTTATCAGTATTTTCCTTTGTGCTTTTTACTATCCATGAAGTCTTTGTGATAAAAAGAAGCCTTCCTCATCTGGGGGAAAATTCTTTCACTTCTTAAGTTTCATAACATTTATGAAATTTCATATTCTTAAAATTTACTTTAGTGTGTGCTGTGTGGTAGGGATCCTCATTTCCACTCAGTTACCTATCAGTTCGGCATCTTTATGGAGAAGTCAGTCCTTTCAATATGATTTTGTTGTGCCACAATTCCCCAAGATGTTGGGTCTAATTCTGAGATTTTGGTCTGTCTCAATGATTTTTTCTTAAAGTAAACTGTTTTATAAGATACTTTTTAATAATTATAATTTATTGATCACATATATTTCATTGTATTTTCTTTTTTTAATGATATTAGTTTTCTCATTTAATTATTATTCCTTTGGGAATTCCTTGGGAATTGTTCAGTCAAGTTATAAAAAGCATCGCCACCTCCATCCTGGGGATGACCCTGTGGGCCTTTTGACAGTGTCGGTAATGACTCTGAACTTACCAGGACCTGTGCTTGGACTGGTGGCTTGGTTACTTTGATAAGGCTCTTAGCCTTTTACCATAGAGGGAACTAAAACATTGATGTAAACCCTGCCTGAAATCATTTGGTCTTCATCATGTTTATTGTGTCAGCAATGATTCAATAGGTTCTTTTACAGAGAAGCCACACTGAGTGGGTAGATCTGGGTTTGAGTATTGAGTGTCACCTCCTTACAGGGCGACTTTGGGCAGATTACTTATCATCAGTAAAATGGGGATAGTTACACCCCTTTGCTGAATGGATTTGAGACCCCAGCGAGGCAGAGATGCTCCACATGTGCTAGGCTTTCTTCTTCTTTCCTGGTTCATTCTCCAATAACCTACCTACCTTAATTCCTCCTGTAATTCTGGTCTTGGTCTCTGGGGAGGCCACAGGGAAGTCTGTGGGCGCTTTTCTTTCCATGCTCACACTCCAGGTGACCTCTCCAATCTCACAGCTTTGAGCACCATTTATATGTTGGCTTCCAAACTGGCATTTCCAACCCTGTCCTTTCCCAAGAACCAGCCCATTGTTTGTAACTGCCTACTCCGCATCTAACTGGCCCCTCAATTTTTGCATGTTCAACACCAGCTCCTAGTCTTTCTCCCCAAACCTGGTCTTCTGTGGTCCAGGGTAACCAGGCTTTGTAATGAGATAAGAAACATTTTAGGCTTTGAGTGCCACATACAGTTTCTGCTGCACCTTTTTTTTTTTTCTCTCTTCTTATTTCTCATGCTTTTCTCTTTGGCTTACCTTCTCAGGTGTACTGTCTGCTTTCCTAATCTTTTTTTTTTGTGGTTGTTTTCCACCATTGAAGAAACTGTGCTGCCAGTTACTTAATACTCTCTGCTGTGTTTCTTACTGTTTCTCCTTAGCCCTGTCTTTCTGCAGAGTTTAATGTAATTCCTTGTTTATGGTTTTTCCAACATCCACTAGATTGTAAGCTGTACAAGAAGGCATTTTGAACTGATTACATTTGCTTTGTTTCCCTGGCACCTAGAACAGAACCTGGCTTATAGTATGTGCTCAATAAATTTTTGTGGAATGAATAAGAGAAAAAATGTAAAGTGCCTTTATAAAGTGGTTGAGCTGTAGTAGTACTTAGAAATGCCAGTTATTTCTTCCCATTTCATTTCTCAGATAATTCTGTTAAATCAAATGCTGTTAATTAGATGTTTTAAAATACGGTTGAAGAATTCAATATTAAATCTTCATGGACATGTTTTAATGAAGTAAAAAGCTTTTGAGTAATTGCCCTCTCCTATACCTGCTTCAAGTATAATTTTTCACATTTATTGGCTTATTTTAAGTGATATATCCCTGTTTATTGCATTCCTGTTTCCCACAGGAGCTCATTACTGTGCCTTTGCAAGGATAGGCCATTCTGGGTGAAGATTTCATTTAAAAAGGTTTGCCTGCCAGTATGTACACAGAGGGACATCAGCCACTGCATGTGTGCCGGCAGTGTGTGCAAAATTAGTGTGGAAATCATGGAACAACACGTTTCTCCCTTGAACTTTAAGAAAAGCCTAGGCATGATGGGCAACCTGGGGGTTCCCACATGATTCTGTGTGCCCATGGCTGGTGAGGGGGGTTGTACATTGTGCAGTGCTTCTGTGTTATGCAGTCAAGTGAGGATTCTCTAATCAGGAAACAGGGTCTTTGAAGTTCAGTGCTGATTCCTTTGGCTCACCCATTCTCCCACTCCAGCCTTCCCTCTTATACTCAAGTTCAGAAGAACCTTTCCAGTATAATATATGAAGGCGAGTTAGCCAGGTTTCAAGCACTCTTATAACGTAATAATTAGCCAAATGGAGAGTTGTATATGGAAGTTAGGCCCGAGTAGAGGAACTAACTACCCTCCCATCATCAGTTCATAATAAGAGATCCTTGGCTGCACATTGAGATACTCTAGGAAATGTAAGTGTGGAGGTTTTTGTTTGCTTGTTTTATTTTTAGCTCCCTCTCTGTCCTTTAAAAGCAAAACCACTTATAGGGTAAAGAGCTCCACTTATCCCTTGGCCTCTTCTAAAAACCATAACACTCTAGAAGAGGAAGCAGATAGA